GATTTTAAGATTTTTTCAATTTTACTATCGCCTTGACATCGATAACGTTGTACTAATTTGTATATAAAAATAACATAAAAGAAGGAAAGTTTGATTTTTAATATAGTATAGATTTTAACTTTATTATTATTATATCAGTATTGTAAAACCAGTTCATATATTATGTAAAAAAAAAATAGTGACCGCAAGTGCCACAAAAAAGGTATTGACCGCAACTGAGCCGACTACATCTGTGCGATACCTTTTGGTGCAGTTGTTTAGCAATTYTTAGAATTGTATTAGCGTTTCGTGATGTCGGGTGATCCATATTATTGGTTATCGCCTTATTGTCTTTCTTCGAATACAATAATATTATTATTGACCACTATAGCAAAGGGCAAAGATATAAAGTGTACAGTACATTCGAAGTACAACAATTTTATTTTCTGCTGTTGACTGTTGTCGTCGTAAATAGGTCAAATTTACGGGAGTACAACATTATGGTAATTTTTTTTCTAGTTAGTTCTAGTTTATTCTTAAGCCTTTAAAGACTCGAAACTACGAACTATAATATAAAGAGTAGTTAAATTAATTAACTAAATATAAAACTAAATAGTATTTAATAATGTTATTGTGCTTTTAAAACAGTGAAAAAGGCACAAAAGAAACAAACTTTTACTTWGCCTTTTATGAAAATATCTAACTGTCGTAGTCAACCCGATTCTAATTAGAACATTAYATCGTGTACAACGTCTGAATTAGAAGATACGCCACATTCATCACCATCTCTCTCMAAAAAGCGAGCACTTTCTTCTATAAAATCCTCAATTAAAAATACAGATGTTTTAACCACTATATCTCTCGTCTCAAAAACTATAACTGATTTTACCGATGTTATGAATTTATGATATAGGATTTTATATAAACCCTGCATTATCGCAAAATGAAATATATGATATTATGAATAATCTATGAGTGCTAGATATCTATAACAAATTTTCAATATTTTTTTTTATTTTTTATTAGAAATAAACAATCTATACAAGTATATGTACAATAAGCACATCTTAGCACATAACTAAGAGCAGACAGGACGTGATAAATTGATTAAGAAGCCRCCCACTGGCAACACTTAGCATGAATTATTATTAATTTATATATATATATTTTTTTTTTTTTTGTTAATTATTGATGGTTGGAATTTTGTGTATATACATATACATTGTATATTTTAACTTGATAATTGTAGAAGGTCACGACACCATTTCCTTTTTAGCCTACGAATTGGATTTCCTGGGGGACTTAGAGCGGAGAGGCTTTTAATAAGAGGTTTTGGTGGGATAGAAGTCGCATGCGGAAGCGCCAGTAAAAGAATTGAGCTTCTTCATTGATGGCTTTCATGTGAAAATTGTTATGTAATGTTAGGTTTTAGACGTACGGTGGTGCAGTGGAAAGTCGTCGAAGAACTAGGTTTTGGAATACCTACTTGGATTTTATTGGTGTTGGATTTTTTTGCTGAACCCCAGAGCTGTATGCTATAGCTGTACCCCAAATAAGTTTCAGGAGAGATTTGTAAATTAGAAGTTTAACTTTTAGATTGRTGTTAGTATTTCTTGAGGGCTGAGCATGCGCATACGGGCGTTGAGAGTCAGTCTTTTGGCATGTATATGATTTTTTCATGTTATTCGTTTGTCGAGATTGAGTCCTAGGTATTTTATTGTATCCGATGTGGGAATTGGGATGTTGTTCAATGTAAATGTTGAACATATACACCCATTTATATAAGTACTTAATATTTTATATTGTTACTTTATAGTGTAAGTTAGACTTAGAATATTATAGCCGATGTCTTATGCAAAATAAAATAAATAAATATATTTCTGTTGAAACWTCGAAAAACTGCAYAGTCGTATGAATAACAAAAATAGGTTTAATTAATTAATCGATAATAATTTAAAGTAGAACATACACCACTTCTTTTAAAAAATAATTATAAAATTTAAACATAAATAAGAAAATTTATCTAAACAAAAATTTTATGAGCCAAAAACGATATCAATATTGCTATTATCACAATATGTGGTGGTTCGATGATGACTAATGAGTTATTTATATAATTCTACTGTCACTTAATCATACATAGGTGGCTATTCACAAGTGCAGCGCTTATGATATTTTAGTAAATAGTTTTGAAATTGAATATCATATAAGTAAATCTACTAAATTCGGGCAAACCAATATTAATTAATGAGAAAACTAAAATATTTATATAGTAAATGATATACATACTATTTTAAACATATTTATTCTTAAAGTTAGTACCTATTTAACTAATTTTGGAAGATGGAAATATAGATAAACATCAAAAATTTCTCGGTACTTTATGGATTGCAATCCCATTAATTAATGCTTATAAGACAATCAAATTATTCAATAAACGTATTATTGAATTCAAAACTGTATCGTTTACCGTTTCATAATATAAATTACTATATATAAAAAAAAAAATAATCTATTAACTATTTTAAATATTTTTTTTTAGTTTTGTTCACAGTCAATATTTAAAATCTTCAACAAGATTTAATTTATGATAAATATATTTTAAAACCTTTGCAAATGATTAATTTTATACATATTATTTAATTCTCATATTTCCATTTATCAAAATTGAAAATTCTCAATAGTTTTTGAAAGCCGGGAATAAAAAAAAATAAAAGATAAACGGGAATTTTACACAAATMAATTTTCGAGATTGATTTTGATGTTATGGTGTACGTAACTCAAAAACGAATAACTGCAAAGTATACTTTAACTTTTCACCAACTGTTGATATTATCATTTTTTATCCACCATACAATTTCACTCGACATTTTGAAAATTTAATATAAGGTTCCTATTTCAACTTTTGACAAAAAAAGTTTACTGGAAAGTCAAATTAATTTATATGAGAGATTGAAGTTCAAATTGTTTCGTCATAGGATATTCATTATTCAATCTAAACTAACAATTTATCATGAAATGATTCTTTAATTTTGTTTGTAAAATTAAAAAACGAATAACCGTGTCCGTAGCTACTCGAAATTTTCACCAAATATTTATATAAGGTTTTGTTTATACATATGGCTAATTTATATTTTATAAACTC